ACTAGGTTTGTACAACTAAGTGTTATGTTCATTGGTTATATTGTTATTTAATTATTGATGTTGAAGACAAAAAAAAACAAAAAAAAACACCTGAATCAAGAGTCTGGAGTGAATGATGCAACGAGTCGGAGAGAGCTTTTCGTCATAAAACTGGGCAGGCTCACCTCCAGGGGGCGGAGCCCAAAGAGCTTATCTGACTCAAACCAATCACGAGAGGATAAGGTCAAACCCGTCCTGGATACTCCTCCCCCCACTATGAGAAGAGGCGTATCAGGTAAGTACCAACGCCCTTTCTCTTAGTAAGAGTTTGTTGGTCACAGGAGAGGTGTTACTGCACATACACAATAATCTAGAGCGAGTATATACATTACTTTAGTCAGAAAGATTGGCAATTGTACACTAGGAAAGAAAAAGAGATGGCAATTATTGAAGAATGAACTTTAAAGTTTATTGAATTGGCAGAGATGGTGAAATTAACAGCATTGATTAGGGATGGATTAGAAAATATATAAGAGATTGGAAGCAATTTGTGGACTTTCTACGCATTAAATACAATAATTGATCCTAAACAGAGGGCTTCAAAGATTAGTTTTATTCTTGGGGTTACTTGGGGTTAAATAGATTTCCACATAGGTGATTTTTTTAATGAAAAGGACAATTTGCCACTTAATTGCCAGTATTTTTTTATTTATGTCCAATACTATACAAAATTGAGAAAAAGAAAAAGGGAAAAAAACAAACATCAAACACCGACAATAAATATAAAAAACGTGTACAAAATATAACAAATGACAAATATATTATTAGCACTAAGGTTAAATATAAATTGTACACCCTGGTTGAATGCCAAAAAATATGTCTAATATATCTGGTACATTCTCCCCCCTTATATAACAGGCCTACAAGTAATTAGAAACTTTCCCATTTATGTTTAATAAAAAATACTATTATTTCTTTCTTTTCCTGGAAATACTGTGAAGCAGAATATATTCTGGGAATCAGAAGTTCATTGACTAGACAGCTGCAGTGTGCTTTATAGAATACAAAAAAAAAATACAATTCTTTCAAATGGCAGAGGCCTCTATGCTAGTGTGTAAGGACCATTCAATCTTGTGATCCTTATTGTGGTCATTGTACTGTGTTTCCCCGAAAATAAGACAGTGTCTTATTTTCTTTTGACCCCCAAAATAAGCACTTTGCCTTATTTTTGGGGGGGGGCTATTTTTTTTTTAGGTGCAGGAGGCGGTGAGTGTGGTCACCTCATGGCTGCTGCTGTGTTGTAATATTTTCAAGGAGGGCTTATTTTAGCTTATACGCTCAAAAGATCAATTGGGCTTATTATCCAGAGAGGTCTTATTTTTGGGGAAACAGGGTATTAACTTCCAGGGGTTTATTAGTTCCCTGGTTTGTTCAGGACACTTCCTTAGGGTAGAATTAACCAATCCTATCTGCACATTTTTGTTAGGGATCCTTGGTTTTCCCCACATATGGGAATTGAGAACTTGTGGGAATCTTCAGACAATATTTTCCCATTCTTTTAGAACTGTCAAGATAGGACTGTTCCACGGGGCATTTGAAGTACAGTGCTGTATTGCCATGATTAATTATACTGGTGCATGTGATTATTACTTCATTGCTTTTATTGATTGGCAGTTGTGATTATATGTCTGTTTTTATGTATATCAACACAGCTTTCTCCATATTTCATAGTGTAAATGTGCAATAAATAAATAAATTAACAAACAAACAAACAAACAA